CTGCAATAACATGTGGAGAAGAAAGTAGAAAGTTAATTATCTCTGGACAGCTCTTTAGCAGTAACATGTGGAAGGGGGAGAAAGCTACAAGAAGCTGAAACTTAAGTTTTTACAAAGATTAGAAACTTAACCCTATCAGCACATATAGAACAAGAGGAGGCACATTGGTTAGAGTTAAGCGATAATACTGTCAGAATTGTGGAAATGTTTTTCTGGTCATTAGGAAGTTTTGAGGAGTAAGAAGCTAGGAAGTTAGAGGAGTAAGAAGCCTCCTCTGCACCCCAACTCTCTTTCCTCCTCATTTCTAGCAGTGCAGACATCGCAATGTCTGTTTGATTTGATGCAGGCCCATGTGAGCAACACTGTGTGCTTTAGGTTGTGGCAAACGTTTGGCTTCACATAGCTACACAGAAGCGCTTGCATGTATCCCAAACACCAAGTTTTAAATGTTTGCATTAGTTTTCACACTATATCCAGCCATGTGCTATGTGTACTTTTGCTGTGGTACATCCCACCCTGATGCAGTTTGTGAGAGAGTCCCCCAGTTAATGTCTACCAGCTTGCTGTTCCTGGAGATGTTACTGAGCATCCGTGATACTGGGCCATATAGCACGGTAAATGTGAGAAGTACACTGGTAGATAAACTAAACTAAAATTAGAAGCTTATTTATTTGATTACACAGTGAACATTTCCAGTACTGAGCAGGAATGTGTGGCTGATGTTCAGGCTGTCAGTCAACAGAAACACACACAGTTATAGCACTTAAAGAAAACTATTCTGGTCAGTGCTATTCAAGTTACCTGAGTCACTCACAGTGTCACAGCCAGAGCATGAACCTCACCCTCTTTACTCCAACACACTTGGAGTCCCAGATATTCTCTTGGGGGTTCAGCTGCTTTTCTTCACTTATCCTGCATACTGAATCAATACTTAACTCAGAAAGTGCCTTGTCCAAATAAATCTGAGGAGTCCCCCTTTCTTCAGTACTCTGACTGTATTAGAAAAGCATTTTACAATGCCATCCCTTAGAGATATGTGGGAAGAGATTACCTGACAGCGTTTCTCTATTCAACCCATAATCCCAACATTGTCTGTGTGTTACAAGGTGATGGCGAAGAAAAAAGATGAAGCAGGGGAGACAGGGAAATAGGACTCTAACTAAGGGTTTCCTGGCAGTGAGAAAATGAAGAAATATGAGGTTACTTTGTCTTCCTTTCATCTGGACTCTGTGTTATCTCCGGATTTCAACATAAACTCAGGAGGTGTTTTCTGATCTGTGCCTCAGAAACTTTCTTACTCACAGCAATGCATCCATAATCATGTTTACTACATTAGAACCTCAGAATAACTAGGAAATAATAAATGGATGCCCTTCTAGTTTTTATAGTGTTGGCAGGTAAATACATGTTACCTCTGATGAAGATCTAATTAGATGCAATGAAACAATTAATAATCAACTATTTAGAAATGGAAAAACATAGTATTACAAATAAAAGTATAATTGTAACTGAAATGTAAAACTTTGTCATGAACAAACAAAATGATAGAGATCTAAATGTCTAATTAATTAACCAAACTATATTGCCTTATAAAACCAACATTTGAAAATGCTCAATTATGGGATTAACTTGAATAATATGTTATCATATTTATCTTGAACGCAGATGTCTGTAATAAAAGATTTTGCTATTCTAAAAGTGTTTCTTTGGTTGAGAAATTTATGGATTATCACTTCCTTGCTCTTTTTGACATCATCAATATTCTCAAAGATTTCTGGATTGAGTGAATATCTGTGACACTGGGACCAACACCTGCAATAGCAGAGTCACCAATGTACCAGCAATGAAGCTCTGGTATATCTAGGACTGCTGTGCCCCATAGCTGTGATATTATATTCCTAGCCTTCATGTTTAGTATTTTCAATGAAAAGTGAAATCAATGGTTGCCTGAGATCTGTTAAACTGTGAGACATGGATCTGGTGACGCTGGAGGCCCTTAAAGGAAGCAGGAGTTGGTGGAAGCAAGAATGTGCTTCGGCTCCAGTGCTAACTGCGATCCCTCCCTCACAGCCTGTGCAGAGACTGAGAAAAGAGGGAGCTGGAGAGTGGTTTGCAAGAACCCATCACTCCAAAGATTTTTTCACATCTCAACTGCCACAATTACAGCCACTCAACTGCTGAGTGTGTGAAACAAAGAAGTTGCTGGGTTCTCACAGCCTGCTCTGGAAGGGACTCTGGGATAGCAAGGATGTGCTGGCCTCATAGATCTATAGTACACTTCTTTACTTTACAAAAGTTTCTTTCAGGGACTTAAGGGGCTCATGGGCAGTGCCAAAACTAATTCGATGTCATATCATATTGGGTATACACATTTCAGGTTCACTGCCCTATGACCATTGTCTTTTTAGAACTCTAGGTTAAGTTTTGGTCTTTTCTTATTAGTAGTAGGATGACTTATTAAGAGGAATGATTTGATTTTCAAGTAAATTTTGCTTGGTAATTGATAGAATCGGATCAGCTTCACGAATACAGCAGAAAAGATTCACTCATGGCCTTAGGGTACCAAAATGAATAGGTTGCTGTGTTAAAGATCCTCCAGTAGATGGCGAACAACTCCACGTTAAACAAACCACTGAGCCCCCCCCCCCCCACTACAAACACTAGGACTGTAGAAGTGATGCTTTCCTTTGCGGGAGCCACTAAGGCAGGGAGCTCTCTGCCCAGCTCTCTAAGCTCACATGGCTGGGGCCTCTGTGCACAACGGGCCGTGTCTTCCCCATCTTCCAGTTCCTTAGTATTTATTGTTTTACTTTGTGCCTGGTAATGCACCTGAGTGTGAGGATATTTCCAGGAGGCCTCAGGGTCAGCAATGAGGGAGGAAGGGTGAGAGAGGAAGGGCCTCAACTCTGACTGTGGCTGCTCTGAGTGAAACACCAGTGACGTGGCCCGATGTATTCTGAGGCGGAGAGGACAGGTCCTATAGAACTGAAATCCTCTCAAGAGAGTCCCTAAGAGGAGAGGCAGGTGGGCAGGAAGAGTGGCTATGACTGCAGACCTGTTACCTTGCTGTTCTCCAGAGCCCTAGGCAGTGAGTGAAAATCACAGCTCGGTCCACAGAGGCTAAGGGTGGACTGTGAACTTCATGCTTCTCAGATTCTGCAGAGGGAAAGATCTAGAGGTAATGTAGCAACTCTGGGCTTTCACTGTTCATTTTCAGTGTGCCAGTTCTAAAATGCCATGTTGTGCAAGTAACTAATACCATTGTTTATTACTATGTTAAATGAATAGTTAATGTATTACATGCACACAGCAAGTAAACTATGTATTTACATGTGTAATGCATGCTCTTCAACTTTTCAGGTAGATCAGAAGCTGGGATGAGGTGAACTCTGGGATGGAGACATTTGCGGATTCTCTTCTTAGGCTCTATCCCTCAGGATCAGTGGGAACAGCACTGAGAATCTTTGGCTCACAGAGCCAGGCCAGCTTTCCAGCTCTTGTCTCTCCCACTGTGACTCCTCCTGGGCTTTCAGGTTGGTCAGCACCCAGAATGTTGAGTTCTTTCTTTCCCTGTGTCCCCTGCCAGCATGCACCATGGGGAGCTTCACTGGTTCCTCTAGATCGTCACACCCTTGGGTCAGGGGAAGAGCTCCATCCTCCTCAGCCTGGAGCCAGCATTTGGCAGCACTCAGCTATGCAAGCCTGAGTTTAATCCAGGTTTAGCTCCCTGTTCCAATCCTCGCTTTTCACTGCAGTGCTTCAAATCTATTAAGGCCTTAACTTCCCTGCCCACATTTCCTCAGATCCTGAAACCACCCTGGAACCTGGATAAAAGAGGATTTTTATCCCTGTTTTCCTAGAGTCCTACTTTTTCCTAACACAGCAAAAAAGTTTTTCTTCATATTTCTCCTCATAATCCAATGCAAGTTATCATCATAAGATTATTTTCTAAAGGACCTTTTAAAAGTCTAACACATTCATGACAGTCATCGCTGTTTTCTTCAGTTTATTCAGCAGTGCTCTGATCTGCTCTGTATGGCAAATGCAGATGAGCCTCTTCCAGTCTAGGCAGGAATAGGGATCCTGAGATTCAAGTGACCTCTGTGGAAGTGAGATGAAGCAGGCATGAAGATGGTGCACAGGTGCTGAGGAAGATTTTCATACACCTAAAATGGGAAGATGAGTGCAAAGTCTTTCTGGATTTCTTACAAAAGGAGCTTTGAGTGTACTTGAGGCATAGGCACAATACATCCCCCTGGAGATCAGGAACCCTTAGCCACAACCTTGAAAACTCCTTGTATTGAGATGCCCAGAACAGGAGGAAAGAATTTGGTTGGTTCCTTTCTACTCTATCCATGCTGCTGCACGCTTCAGAAATACTCTAACACTGAGAGCTCTGCTTATGAGTTTAAATATATCCTAGTTCTTGAGTTGTTTCTCAAGTAACTCTAACTTATCTTACAATGAAAATGGGGAGCAGGTACTTGGCTGGGTCTTAGAACAGCCGTTGGAGGAAGACAGGCAGAAACATGTGCTCCTGTTTGTGCTTGGGGGAAGCCTGGTGCTGGACAGCAGCATTGCTCATGTCCTCCCCTGCTGTCTTAGTCATGCTGTGGTAATGTGTAGAGGAACCCAGACAAGTTCACAATTTCTGCTCTCTTCATGTTTTGTCTTCTCATTTTTAACCCTAAGTTTGAAACAGCCCCTGTGTCTCCCTTCCTTCTTCTTTCTCAAAGGGATCATAACACAGCACCTTTGTCCTCACACTAAGTGTGTCCTGAAACGAAAGAACAGCAGTTCACTCTAATCATGGGAGAGCAGCCTGCTTCTCTGCTGTTGCCCAAAGGAGAAATATGTTCTCTGCAGCGGAATCTGTGCTGCCTTGGGGAGGACAAGATCCCCAGAAGACAGGAAGCCTGTACTGCAAGAGGTCAGCCCTGTAGCTGGGTCAAGTCCCTCTGCCCCTCCTGATTTGCATATCCCAAGAGGCTGCTTGAGGACGTCTTCATAGGCTGCTGATCTCACCCTGTGCAAGTTATGTCCCAGTAAGAACACAGCATGGACATGAGTGTTCCCATTTTCTTTCTTGGGCTCTTGCTGCTCTGGCTCCCAGGTAAGAAAGGGCAGCATCAGGAATTTATTCAGCTCTGAAACTTCAGAATTCCCTAACATTTTCAGGAGGTCCCATTTTGTCTTGAATAGCTATGTAGATATTTGTTATGTTTCCTATTTCAGGTGCCAGATGTGACATCCAACTGACACAACCTGCATCCTTATCTGCATCTGTGGGGGACACAGTCAAGATCAGTTGCCAGGCCAGTCAGAGCGTTAGTAGTTACTTAAACTGGTATCAGCAGAAACCAGGACAACCTCCTAAACTCCTGGTCTACTATGCAACCATTTTGCAATCTGGGCTCCCATCAAGGTTCAGTGGCAGTGGATCTGGGAAAGATTTCACTCTCACCATCAGCAACTTGCAGCCTGAAGACTCTGCTACTTATTACTGTCAGCGTTATCTTAGTTGGGTTATCACAGTGATACACGCCATGACATAAACCTCCCAGAGAAGCAGAAGTGTGAGGCTGGGCTGCCCTAGAGACACAAAGTCTCTAGCTACAGAGCAGGTTCCTCAGATGCAGCCAGGCTTTAGCGTGCCTTGGAAGGATTTGGTAGAATTGTCAAAGTAAGCTCCTATCTACTGTAGATTTCTTTTGTGTTTCTCAACCCTGATTTCAAGAAAGATGCCAGTTAGTACACTGGAGTAATGTTGAATATGGCATCATTTTTTATTTACCTGACAACAGAGAAGCTCTTCTTTGTATTCCAAGCAATAATATTTAAAATCTTTTACCACTGTTATAGATTTATTAATTAATTTTATTTTTATTTTAAGGACACTAACGCCAAACAAAGTACAACATAATATCGTTAAGCAAAACAATACAATGAAATCCATAGTGCACTGCAAAACCAGATGATAGAGATCTACTGTGGCTAACATGATCTATATTGTCATGTTCAAATTAGCTTCGCATAGCAACAGATGTAATAAATTCAAATGAAAGAAAATTGAATTAATTCAAACAAAACAGTGTAAACCATTCAGAACATCAAAACAAGATTATTCGATGTTAATAACTGGTGCAGATATGCCTCTTGTAAACCTAAATTTAGAGATCTGTATTTACAACAAAATTTAAAGTGCAGAGGTATATTTTATTCCACTGCCCCTATATTAGCATAGTAGATCATCCCTGTAAATTGCAACTCTGTTGCAACCCATCAAGATAAATTAAACTTAAAGTTCATAGTTCACATTAAGTTTGACTCTTGACATTAAATATTTCACCAAAAATCACAGGTATAAGGCCATATGTCCAAAATGTGTTATGTTACTATAGTGTCATAATACCACCATCTTGTACCTGTGCATCTTCTTTTTCCTCTTTTTTTCTGTAAGAGAATCATGTATTCCCATGCCTATAGTTTTTCCTTTTCTAGAAAAATAAAATCCTGGAGCTTACAGTATGGAACATTTTCAAAAGCTAATGTCAATATATATTGCTATGGAACACAAAAAGAAAACTAATGATTAATACATGTCGCTCCTATCAAGATTCACTTTAGAGCATCTATTATTATTCTGAGTATTCTGTCATAGTAAGGGTGTTAGATCCTTCACTGTGCAATGGTATGGTGCTCTCATAGCACTGCCTGTGTCTCAGAGGTCAGCAGATGGGTACTGATTATTTGGACTGATGTTAAGATTGTGCTGTGATTTTAAATGATGCAAGGGAGTTTTAACGTCATTTTTCCATCAGGTTACTTGATTGATGCACTCCTGTTATAAATTCTGGTGCCCACACAACCAATTGGATTTACAAGGGACCCTGGAAGTCTCACTGTTCTCTTTATCATTCAGATCCTTTCACTGTTTCACTAAAACCAGCTCAATATGTTTCTCTGCCAGTCAGGGAGCTCCCCTTTCCTGGTGTAGATCTTTTTCTGAGAAATGAAAAAAAAAAAAAAAAAAAAAAAGAAGTGGTTTCATTTTTTGTTGAAGAAAAGTATCTCCTGTTCTTATTTCAACTTCTTCATATGTGGTTTTTAGGCTGTGCCACTTGAACACCTTCCATAAACACAGCATTTCAGCCCTGGCTGAACAGTAGACTTAATTCTGAGGAAGTCAGTAGGGTGTGGCATGGTTAACACAGGATCACTTGATGTTTTCTACTTTTTCAGTCAAGATGGCAATAGCAGAGGAGGTTGCAGCCATTTTAGGGGCACAATCTTTAAGTGTCATACTTATTTTTTCAATAAAATATCTCAGAGTCAAAAGTAGCAAGCATTCCCTCTCTGTAACCCATTCCCTCCTTCAACCCATTGACAGGGTGTTTTCATGAATCGCTACTCACCAATGTTTTCTTTATTAATTTTTTGCCTGTCCAATAAGCTGTATTAATTAAGATTAGGTCTCATTCTTCTAATTCATTCCAAGCATAGAAAATGTTAAATAATGAATGTTTTCATGACCTCTGCCTCATCTACTTACTATTGGGTATCAATTAAACAAAAATTTAAAATTAATTAATATGAACATCTAAAATGCACATCAATTCCTGGTGGAAATTTTGAACACATGACTTCCTAGGAGAAGAGCTTGGCAGAGTCTTCAAAATCTATTTTCATAGTGTCACATCCAACAGTAGAGATTTCAAGCCTTTGATGAAGGCACTTGGAAAAACCTACTTTCTCAACATCTTGCCTGAAACTATTCAAACCAACTTTATCATAACATCCTGACAGGAAAACTAACTCAGTCATCATCAGCAAGTGAAGCATTATGTTATGACATCTCCATCCATTATACACTGCTCAGAAATGAAGAAAATTCCATTATTGATACACGATTAACCTGAACTGAACTAACAAGCAACTATGTGGTGTAGAAGTAGCAAGCAAGTAGGGAATCAATGCTGTGTGATTTCTTTTTGTATGAAATTCTAGAGAAGGACAAATCTAACATGTAGTGACAACAGGTAGACTCGAGTTTGAAAAATCCATGGGGTGAAGAGGAAACTGTTTAAAAAGAACAGCAGGAAAATGTGTTGCTTATTCAGGATAATTTGTTATTCCAGTGGAATTTTCCCCATGTAATTTTGAATTACATCGAATCTATAATCCACTTTGGATGGTTTGAACATTTTAGCAGCATAATCCCTCCAATCCAGGACCATGTGTCATCCTCCATTTGTTTGTGTCTTCTGTAATTTCTTTCACCACTTTCAGTGCAGTCTAACTTCTCAATATTTCTCTCCTGTGACTGTGTGAGTGTGTGTTTGTGTTGTTATGTGTTTACCTTCTTTTCCTGTTAGACTCTTTCACTTTCTCCTAAAGCTCCTGTACTCACACCTGTTGACTATGCATTCCTTTAATTCATATTTTTATTCTGATTCCATATGGCTCAAAAATTTTCTGATATGAACTTAATTTTTTGTACCTCTTATAGCTCCTCAGTATGTATTGAAAATAATGGCACAGAAATCAACAATTAACTTTACTACTTTTGGAGAAATGGCTATATGTGGAATTTTTTTCTAGACTCTACATTCTTGCGTATTCAGTTTATTTATCTTCATTCCTATGATGCCATTCACTGTCTTGCTGAAGTTCTTACTTAATTCCCCACCCAGGTCGAAATGCTAAAAGATAAAACTCAGGAGTTTAAGCATACAAGGCTAATGTTTTATTGTGAAGCTTTATAGCCATTTCTTATAAAAAATTATAAAACATAAGTTCACTCATATACAATTTTTATTGTTTAAAAATTTTGTGAATATTTTATGCCCTGTGTTTTGCTTGTATATTCTAGAGACTGCTCATCCTTTTAAATAAATCATTTGTAGATTGTTTGGTTTCATTGCATGAAATACATTTGTGTAAATATATGTATGTTTTGAACACTTTAAAGGTTAATAATATAAAGTTTTCTACCTGTTGGAAAAAGTCTCCGTTTCCCTAAATGTTTTTTAATTTACAAGACGTAATGAACATGTTGGCAGTGAACCCAGAGACTTTATGAAATTACTATTCTACTAATTTTTGGTGCACTCATAGGAATTATTTAAAGAGAAGTTATTAGAAGTAAGTGAAGCTATGACTTCTTTCTTTTAACTTGCGAATTTTATTACTTTTCTTTGTCTTGTTGTATTTTTTAGAACTTTCACCATAAAAATGATTAAACTTACCCATCCCGAAAGATGAGATACTTTGTTGGTGAATATGGTGTATTATTTCACTTCATTAGGAGTGAAAAGAGAGTTTTCCAAGACTGTTCAATTGAAAGAGCCATGTTTCATTTGATGGATGCGTTGTAATGGAACAATGCAGAGAATCATCCGAGGAATAGTTGTTGGCCTGCACAGGAAGTTGTTTCTGATTTCAGTGAAATGGAATCAGTGTGCTGAAGAGAGAGATGCAGTGCAGCTCATCTGTGAAGCTGTGGCTGTCCCCTGACCTACACCGCTGAGCCTAAGTGTGTGTCGCCCTTGGTGAATTCCCACAAGGGTAAGGCTGCATTGTTAACCTTGGGAAATGAGTACAAAACTGCAAAGGAAAAGAGTATCAGGAAGACAAATTTCATACAAAACCTTCTTTCAACCAGACACAATTATGCACCAAGGGAGACTAAGTATCATACTAGAGGTGGTAAGAATCAATGTAGGGTTACTCTTGTACTTAGTAGGATTGTATTGAAGACTACGTGGCTCAGTTAGAGATGTGGTAAGACAGGGAGACTCCAGTATCATGTTCCCTTAACACAGAGTGGAAATTTTATTCTGTGCTGTGCCCAGGGGCCTCCTGTCCTGACCATCTGGGCCTGGCTTGCACAAGTGAGGACAAAAAGAGCTCAGTGTTTCTGCAGCTTTAAGCTCAGCTCATCTAGTACTTGCTGTTTTGCATGTTCCTCCCAACACACCCCCATGTTCAGAGCCCACATCAGTGTCTGAGCCAGAGCTCTGGGGAGAACTGCACCAGGAGGACCTGGGGTGCAACACAGAAGCCCTGGATGGGTCCTCTGTCTCCTGTTATTCTGGGTCCAAGGTGACCTTACATGGAATATTTTTGCATATCGGTGAAAAGTGTTAGCTTTTTTGTTCAGTAGTACTTTTTATGTTTAATGAACATCATAATTCAAGTTCCAAGTAGAGCAATGAGCTTACCTAAATTGGGGTGACTATTCATATGACTTAGAATACAAGGCAGATTTTTCTATTTAATTTTTCAGTCTCAGATTCCACTGGTGAAAGCGTGCTGACACAAACTCCAGAAAAATCAGTCACTGTCACTTGCAGGGCCAGTGAGAGTTTTAGAATTTCCCTAGTCTGGTTCCACCAGAAACCTGGGGATGCTCTGAGGATCCTCATTTATGATGTGTTCAGCAGGTCGACTGGTGTCTCAGTCTGGTTCAGTGGCAGTGGCTCAGTGAAAGTCTTCACTCTCACCATCAGCAGCTTACAGCCTGAGGATGTTGAAGTTTATCACTGTAACCAGT